GTAGGGAAGGCATAAATCTCAAAGAGAGATAAAGGAAGAGGTCGCACACATGCGGCTAGCCCCCTACAGTTAGAATCTATAGGGGTAGGGGGTAGGGGCAGAAGAACCTCACCTAAAGAGACCCCGGAGGTCACAGAAACCTCTACACATGACCGAAGTCCATAATCTCTAAAGGTAACCAATTGGCAAGAGGGACACCTAGGTCCATTTGCCTCACTGAAAACAGAGCTCTGCAGCGAAAAGGACACTTAGGTCCATTCGCCTCCAATTGAGATCTCCCAAAATCTGACTTGGAGGGCGTCCCACTCCAAGGACTCGGAGACCAGAGTCTGTGAGTCAACACCACGACCAAAACCAATTTGAGTACTCACTATGAAACCATCAAGAAATCACCAAGAAACCATTAAGAAATCAAGAAAACAGAACGAAAGCAAAGAGGCAAAGTGAAAGGAGAGGTTGACGCGGCGACCATATCAGTAAAGCCAAATCAAAAACCATTAATTTACATTTTAGTTTAAGCCGGCATAACAAAATTTAGGTTGAAATTTACTTACCGCGTTAAAAAGAAGAGGCCTTTAGGGATCCCGGACGAGCCCCCAAATGTTGTAACTCAAAAATCAGATGACAACGAGGCAAGTCCAAAAGTTAAAAGAAGCGCTTTATTTTAGCTGGTACCCAGCAGCGGTCTCTATGCAAGGTGCAAAGAGGCGCACCAGCATTAACAAGGATCAGTATTTAAGCTTGAAAACCGCAGAAACAGGGGAGGGGTGGAGAAGAAGTGGCAGGGTCATTAGTTCATGAGGTGGTCCTGTTGGGTGAAGGTGCTGAGTTGGCAGTCATACAGAGTTCATTGAGATAAGGTTTGGGGAACAGATATCATAAGACTTGAGTCATAGGGGTGAGGAATTGGGAGGAATTGGGACGAATTTGAGTTGGCAGTCAAGGGGTGAGGAGTTGGGAGGAATTGGGAGGAATTTGAGTTGGCAGTCAAGGGGTGAGGCATTGGGAGGGGTCAGCGCCTACAGAACAGGAACTCTGCAAGGTTAGAAGGGCAACAAAATGGAGTCAATTTTGACAGGGTACAACAGGAAGTACTTGGACAAAGCAGACCTCCTTTGCACTTAAAAAATTCTACTAGGCACTTTGCGTCTATGACCTCATTTTATCTTCAAAACAACCTACCCAGGCCTAGTGGCTCACAGCTGTGATCCCAGCTACTTGGAGGGCTGAGACAGGAATTGCAAATTCAAGCCCAGCCTGGGCAAATTCAAACCCAAATCCAATTATATATTTTTTAATTTTTATTTTTTTAAAGAAGGGTCTACAGGATGTTCAGGGTCTCACTACTAGATAGGACTCATAGTGATCCACCTGTTTACAGCCTCCCAAGAGCTGGGATTACAGGCACGCACCATCACACCCAGTCTCAGTCTCAGCATGCCGCGGAGGGGCAGGGCTGGCACAGTACCAAATCCAATTATATGGAAATGATTATCCTTTTTCCCAAGCCCACAAACCATTAAGCACTAGAACTTATTTCAAATCCAGCCCTATTTGACTCTAAAACCTGTCCACCATGTATCTCCTTATTAATGCCAAAAAAAAAGTCACATTTACTGGCATGAAACTTTGTCAGTGCAATTTGGTAAATAAAACATCACATAAAAATATATATGAGGGCCAGCCTGGTAGCTCATCGGACTAAAGTGCCAGCTTAGGCAGAGCCCAGTGGCCGGGGTTGATTCCTGGCATGCTGTGCCAGCCCCGCCCCGCCCCCAGGGTGCACTGAGAAGGCAGTTGAGACTGGGTGTGGTAGAGCACACCTGTAATTCCAGCACTTGGGAGACTGGAAACAGGAGGATCACTACAAGTACAGTCTGTGTAGTGAGACCCTGGACACCCTGTCCTAAATACAGAAAAGAAAAGGAAAAAT